GGTGTCATGGGGTGTAAATAATTAATATATATTATATTATAATTTAATATTTAATTAATCCATTTACCACCTGATTTTTGAAATAATTAAACAAATTTGTTAATTTTGAAAAGTAATTATTATATGTAGGTTTTGTGTATTGTTCCCCATAAATTATGTACAACAAGAATTATCTTATTTTTTTAAGCCACCAAACATTTTATCAAGTTGTACATATTTGATTTTCAAAATGAAAATTCCATTTGTACAAAAGATGGATGACAATGGAGCTTGACAACCTACCATATGCGTGCGGGTCCCGCGTGACTAAAAAATTCGAAAAAAAAAAAAAGTTGGCCCTCCCGTGTTGGTCATCCTTCATTGTACATGTAGCGTGGTTGTTTTCTAAAAGTGCTTCGATTAGATATTTGAAAATCAATTATGCCTCCAATCAATGCAATTTGCAGAGAGAAGCTACACTTACAGAAAAAACATTTCTGTAAGCATTACAGAAGAGAGACATTGGGGGTGGGGCCCATTTTTTATAATATTATTCTATTCACATGGGGTCCATCTTTATGTGTCTATTCTGTATACAATACAGAATGACTGGTTCTGTACAAGCAGATTTTTCCATAATGAAAAATGATGCAAGTATAGGAATAACGTGACAGAATTTTTTCCAGATTTTTGAATTCTCTCACATAGGGAGGTGGGGCCCGCATGAATTAAATATTGTTAAAAGCAATGGGACCCACGTGTTTTGTGTATTCTCTACAATTCCTGTAAAAAATTCCCCATACCCATGGTGATTGAGAAATAATTGCCCCAATCCTCAATGACTATTCTCCGCCTCCAATGTCCAAATCGTTCTTCTTGATTTGACATCTGTCCTCAATTTTCAACGGCCAAATCTAATAATTCTTTCTAAATTAAACAAAATAAAATTCTCCATTTTTCTGTAAATCTCCCATTCGATTTTCAGAATGAATAATGATCACTTGTATTCATTCGACGAGAATTGCTGGTCTGATCTGATTGATTACAGCAACCTGTTAAACGACGTCGAGCCGGTCGAACTTTCGTGGAACCTTCCATGCCACTCCGTAAGGTATCGATTCGCCTCCCAAAGTAATCAAATTTTTTATCTTTTTTTAAATGCTTTTATTTTTTTGGTTTTACCGAAATTCTTGGGTTGTGAAATTCAATCTTAACTTGTAAACGCAATGTTTTTTTAAAACTTTTTAATATTAGATTGAAGTTTGATTCTTTTAATAACAGAGAAATTTGATGTCAACAGGGTGTTTTTATGATTTTTTTTTTTTTTGGTAATTGTATTTGATATTCTTGCAAAAGATGGGATTTAAACTTATGGGCTCTATTTGAAACTGGAAAATGCAAGTAAAAAAAGAAAATAAATTTTACTTTCTCTTCTTTTTTCATGTTAGACATCTGAAAATTGACATTAGAGTTTATATCAATAGCAAGAACAATGTCAAATTTTCAGGCAGTTTCACTTAATGCTGTAGAAGGTTGGATTGACGTGAAATATGATAACAGAGGGAACTAATTACTCTAAATCTTATTTGGTTAAATATTTCATGCTTTAGAATTTATTTGCAAAATGTAGATTTTTTTACAAAATGTCAGAATATGATTGACCATTTTGTTGCAGTACTGCGGTGGGAGTAGATGTCTCTCTTTGTGGACCTATATCACAAGGAAGTGAATGTGCAGAAAAAGAATGCCCGAGAAACAGGTAATTATGAATACATTTTCCTTTTCTATTTTGAGGGAAGCTCATATATTCACGTTTTGATAGTCGTGAAGGCCTCAATCTTTGTATGCTATTTGAGGGAAATAAGTGTGAGCTGATATTAAAATTGCAGCTAACATATGGAAATGAGGGGTTTGAATAGATTTGAAACTTTAGACCATAGGTTTATCAATTAATTTACTGCTGAATCTGTAACCATGAAAGAAATGATTTCCACAGTTCTTTTAGTCCTACTTGAAACCATTTTGAAATATTTAGCATACTCGATCAATGTAGCCAACAGTGTCATTTGGAATCTACACAAGTCAAAGTCATTTATCAATATACTGTAATCTTTATTATCTTAGCTAAAATAACTCAAGTTTTTGAATGTTGAGTGGAACAATTTTGAATTAGCATTGTATTTGCACGTTGATGAACATGTGTAAGAATGTTCTAGTTTATCTGGGTTTATCTTTTAACCCTACATAAAGAGGCATTTAGATGATATTCACAAGTTCTAATATTGAAAAAATATCAAATAAATTGGACCTCTATCAGATGGAAGTTTGGTAATTTAGTAGAGATGCTTTAAGAAATACCTTGCTTTCATAATAGTATGTGTAATAAGTTTGATTGATTAATTATTAGCATCTTCATCCTACATAATTGTGAATATGGGAAGCTCAATCGATTTTGAGACTAGACTCAAGGATCAAATTACTCGTATGCTTCTAGTTTTGTATTATATTTAGACAATTCACTCATTTCTTGTTGTATTTGGAGACCTTAATATTGTGGAAAATTAGAATAGATTGGAAGGGAGATATGTGTCATCGTTTTTCTTGCTTCAAAGCAAAGTTTGCTTCCTCTTCTATTCTTAACCTGTTGTGGCACTATACAGGGAACACGGTGATCTGTGCAGAGGAGTTGGAACTAAAGCATGTCGTGAGAGAATGAGGAGAGAAAAATTAAATGACAGGTAGTCTTATAAGTTTATACTAGATGTTTCTAGTGTTTACTAGTTTTATTACGTGTGGTGCCCCAAAATGCCTGCATTGTTGTTCTATGCAGCTGACGTGTTTATGTCACCCTTATTAACATCTGTATGGATGTAATTTTGAATGAATGCAGTTTATTGAAAGAAAATGAGATAACCTTTGGTGCTTTGGATGTCTAAAGTTTACTTTCAGAAAATGAAAATCAATATAAATGTCAGCGGTTTTTTCCATGTAAGAATCATTTTTATCCTCCATGCAGGTTCTCAGAATTGTGTGCTATTCTGGAACTGGGCAGACCCATGAAAATTGATAAATTGGCCATACTTGGTGATGCCATCGGAGTTCTGAAACAACTAAAAACTGATTACTTGGTGATGCCATCAGAGTTCTGAAACAACTAAAAACTGAATCTGAGGAGTATAAAGAGATGAATGAAAAGCTTTTGGAAGAGATCAGGATATTGAAGGTTAGACAGGATATATATTCAGCTAAATTGATAAAGCCTTTGTTTTTTTTTTGGTATTGTGGTTATGCTGGGAATCTAGTGCATGTGATAAATCCACAGCTTGGTTGATAGGTCTTGTATATGTTGGTTTATCATGATGATTCATACATTATATTATCGATTTAAGATTCCTACGTTTTATAAAAGGAAAGCTAGTTGTAGCGGCCCCTTTTTTAAAGCCAGGGTAATGAGAAATTGAATGTTTCTTTCATACGTCCAAATGAAGCTGCCAGAATTGTCTTTTTGAGATTTTTCTTGACATTTCATTCCTCGACGATTGTGCCATTTCAAACACAGAAATTGGTTACAACATATTTCATCGAATGTTTCATGCAATTACTTGAAAGAGCTCACCAAAAACTTCTGTTTGTTCTTATTTACTTAATATTGTTTAGGAGTTCTCTTCCGTTTTGTTAATTACCCTTCCTTCATAACCATGAAATAACATAGAAAGAAAAACCTCCCTGCACGACCAACTTTTTAAGGACCTTGCTACATGTACAGGGGGAATCCCCTTACATGGCCAGGGAGACACTACCCCTGGCACTTGTACAGGGGGAAATCCCCTGTAGAAGTGGAATTACATATTTTTTAATCATTTAGTCAAAAGAAGATTACTTCCCTCTATGACCATGAAAATATGGAGTAAAAAAAGAAATGTTCCTTTCTCAAGAGAACAAATTAGTCTTTTTTAACATATTTTAATTGTTGTTGTTCTGGACAATGTTTCAAGTTTAAAAGTAATGTAACAATTATATGCCGTGCACGAAGTCGTGTCCCCCGACCAGTAAAGAAAATCTAAGCGATACTTTGAACTCAACCTATATTCATTTTATACATTGTCAAAGATTATTTTTCATGCTTGTGATTTCACCTTTTGTTCTAAAACAGGCAGAGAAAAATGAACTTCATGATGAGAAACTTGTACTGAGAGCAAACAAGGAAAGGATGGAGCAGCAATTGAAAGCCATGCCACTTCCAACTGCTGGGTTCATGCCAGCACATCCACCAGTATATCAGGGCGGGTCAAACAAGATGCAGATGTATCCAGGCTACAGTTTTGTCCCAATGTGGCAGTATCTCCCGCCATCTAACCGTGATACTTCTCAAGATCATAACCTCAGGCCTCCTGCTGCTTGATTCTTTCATAAGTAAGTTGCAGGTTGCAGCTCGTAAAGAATCTTTATCATGCATTGCTGTCTACCGCGTTGTAAATATAATTTTCTGGCCAATATCTTTGATATTCTCGTAATTTCTGTAGTTTGAGTATTGGATGAATCACTAGCAATTAATTAGAAGGGAATTGGATAACATATATTGGCCAAATCTTCAGTTTAATACCCCAAGTTTAGTTGTCATTTTTCAGTGTAGATGCTAGAGCATTAGCAATTCATTGATGTTGAAATTGCCCCCAATTGGGTTATACCGAGGCAAACCTACGTACTGAACTTACTGCTTTGTTAATTTTTTTCAGTCAAAAAAAATTTACGTTTTTTTGGTCTGCCTTGTTCGACCTGAACAGGACGGTGGACCATAGTGCCAAGCGCAACAAGACCTGCCAATCTGGTTCACTACTTCACTTGTGAAGCCAATATATCCATCTACACGCGTTTTTTTTTTTTTAAAAATTCTTCATAAAAGCAAATGTTTGCAAAATCCATCTACAGAGGGAATAATAGACTGATTGTATTTTTCATTTAGTTAATTCGAAATGTTCGACAGAAACAGTAAAAACCAACTCAAATTGCAAAAACTGTGTTGAGCCTTCGGTTTACCTACAAAAACTCACATTACGAAACTAAACATGTATCTGCAAGTTGCCTACTTTTTTTTCTTTTTGCCCTTAAAAAGTCCAAACAAACAGTCCTAATGAATACAACACCTTGAGATGTTAAAAAACCTAACCTGCAGCAGCAAGCCAAAACATGATGAGAGAGGATATTGCTATAGTTATCCAACTCAGAAAGGCTAATCAACTGCCATTTGGTACTTTGTGCATTCTTCTCCCAGGTAGCAACCTCCCATGTCACCAAAGTACAACACGGTTATGCTGGCCGAGGAAGCTGCTGCTGCAAGGGATAATGTTGCAGTAACCTGCCAAGTATTTATAAACTACGTGACAATTAAATATTGACGACAATTTAAGCCCTTGATTGACAACTATACTTTTCGAAAAAAGAGTTTTGAATCGTGATTTTTAGGAGAATATGTAGTTAAAAAGTAGAGAAAATTTTTGAGGTTACGTGCAGAATATTTTATTGTGTGATCGCTTGATTGAAAATGAATATTTAGAAAGAAAAAAAATTGAGAAGTATGATTGTCAAACAGGGGCTAAATCAATAAATTATCCTCTCTGACAACTCGAGCTTTAGTTGAGCCGGTTCCACATAATATCAAAGCAATAAAAAGAATTGAGTTCAAAATCTATCGACCACGTGTTCATTAAAATTGTGTGTTTTTTATGCCAGCTTACACATGAGTGTATATTGAAGACAATTTAAATAACTAGAAATTATGCCCATCTTATCGTAAGCTTTTAAATGAAATAGTTCAACAAACACTCGAAAGGTTTCTACTTATTAAAGAAGAATTGTAAAGAAATTAGATACTAACCCAATCCCAGACTGCAAATAAGTCCAGTAGAATAGAATTGTGAAGAACCTCCTTCTTTGACAAGGCATGTACATCCATGACGGTGAGCACAAAGCTCCATATTACTAGCAATCCCATGGAGGCTATTAAGTAGCTGGAACATTGATATAAATTGAGCATAATTATGAGTTTTTATGGCAAAAAGCAACTTGGATAACAAATTGTAAGATTATCGTCAATGGTAACGACAAATTTTAATGCGATTAAAGCATATTCGCATTAATTTTCCATGGCAGATCATAACCAAAGATTAAAAAATACCGTTCTGTCTTGAGAAATGCAGCTGCTAAGAGAATTGATTATTAGGAAACCTTATAATTTTCACGGATTCGATTCTTATTTACATGTCCGGGTTATGTGCTAATGTTGAGAATTTACTTAACATGCATAGCGGAAAATAAATAATTTTTCAATCTCACCAGAGATCTGTTTTGTGTTTAGATAGAAACTGTGATAGAAATTATACATTTGATGAATTCCATAAGCTCCTTTACTTTTCTTAAACTCGAATTATCACGATCTGCAATCCAAACTGTCTAATTGTCCAACCTCCAACGGTAATCCACACGAAGAACAAGAATGACGACTAGAGTTTTTTTTCTTATGTTAGTAAGAATAATGAATTTTCTCTACAATTTTCAAACCCGAGTAGTCTATTAATATAAGTTCAAGCGGGCTTGACCCGTCTCTTAAACTTAACCCGATCCAATATTTAATTAATCAAACTAATTAAATCTGATCCATGAATTAGTTAATCCAATTAATTAATTCGGGTATATTAATAAGCAACCCAATTAATTAAAATTAATTAATTGTCCAACACTTGCTAATTAATTAATTTGTGAATCTCATACTTCTAATTCTCTTTTGTGTGTGACATATTAGGTTCCCAATCACGATATCTAACGACGTGAATTATTATTTTGATATAATAAAAAACAATAAATTAAACACCCCTTTTAATTTATCACTAATTTACATTCATCGTCCCAAATTGACATCTAATAATGCGTCGAGCAATAAATGTGACGGGGAATGTCTCGTGGTGTGACAAAACCAAACTTGTTCGTTTACTCTGAAACTATAATCATTTCGTCAATATGATCCGATCAATTACGAGATATGGATATGTGTCAATCTCAATTATCAATCATTTCTTTTATCCCACTATTAAGTCAATGTAAATCAAAAAAAAATTTCGACTTATGAGTTCACCTTGNTAATCACGACACTCAAGCAGTTATCCATGTGGAATCTCCCAGCGGGTCTCCAATGTTTTGTTCTATGACAAAACATCCACCTGTTCATTCTAGCGTCAGCACACTTTGGCTTTTGAGATCAACTACTTACTTCACAGTAAGAAATGTCACACGTGATGATCTATTCGTAATAACGATATATGTATCTCGTTATTATATACGACCACGGATGATTTCAGATTCAGTAATATGTAATTCGTATCTCGTAATCACAACTCCTTGTAATTAACAAATCGCCAAGATTTGAATCTACGGATTCTATTATTTAATTTATTAGAATATTATTTCAATTAAATAATAGATCTTACCATAAATATGCATCGATTGGAACTAGGGAATAACACTTACAAACTCTCACTTGCACTAGATCTAATCACTTATGTATCTTATACCATACGAGTCTACGTGGCGGTCATGTTTATGCTGCAACTCCTTGTCAGTGGATCTACAATTTAATAACTTGTGGGAATTCGTTCTTTCTTTAGGTCATTTTATTGTATTATCTTTTCAATAAGACTGCCTTAACACATATTTGGATCATTAATGAGACCTTAGTTCTTTCGCTTATACGATAGCTCCATTGTTATCATAATACAGAAGCATGTAATCAACAATGCTAGGAACTACTCCAAGTTCATTAATGAACTTCTCGATCCAAACCACAACTTTTGTTGCTTTCTAAAGCAATGATATATAAGACTTCTATCATTGAATCAATAGTTATTTCCGGTTTGGAAGCTTTTCAACACACCGCTTAAGAGTAAACTAATATCCTAATTGAGATATGCTATCGTTCTAGTCTAACTAGAAGTTAGCATCAGTATATCCATAAACTCTTAGTTTATTTTCTCCAAATAAAATCTTCTGAATATTTAATCTACATAGATTGAGATGCTTTAAGCAATTTTCTAGATCTATCTCTATAAATCAAATTGCTTCTCCCATATATATTACGAAAAATTATTTGACAACCGTAATTTCAACAATTGAAATGTAGAGACGTTGTTTCTTGTTAATCATATGTCTTATACATAAAATATTATAAATACGACAATACTCCTACTATCTTCTTGTAAACACATGGTTTATCTTCACTTTTGATAAAATCAAACATTTTGATTGTCTCATCAAAGCGAAGATTCCAACTCCTAGAGGCTTGTCTTAATCTAAATATAGATTCATCAAACTTGCATACCTTTTTGGTTTCTTTGGATTCAAAACTTTCGAGTTGTGTCATGTACACTTTCTCTTGTAAGTTCCTATTAACGAATGCAGTTTTGACATCCATTTGCCATAACTCATAGTTATGGTATGCAACTATTGCAAGCAAAATTCAAATGGATTTTAGCATGGCTACATGCTAAAAGGTTTCATCAAACTCAACTCTTTGTCATTATTTACAACATTTTGATATTAGCCTTGCTTTGTATGTAGGGATGTTTCCATCCAGTCGACATTTTCATGTAAACTAATTTACAACCTATGGGTTTTATCCCTTTAGGAGGGTCGACCAAGATCCAAACCTTGTTTTCATACATTTAGTTCATTTCAGATTTCATGGCCTTCGCTATCTCTTTGAGTCAACACTTGACTTTGCTTATGTGTAATTAGTAGGTTTATTATCCTCGATTAGTAATGCTTGACTAGTAATCATGAATTCGTACCTTCTAAGAGGTTGAATGATCTTACAAGATTTACACGGAGCTGACTTATCCTTAGAAGTCTCTAGTTCCTGATCAAGAGTATGTTCTTCTGCATGTGTGAGATCAGACTCAGGTTCATCTATTTAGTCAACTATATTTGTGGATTCTTAAACTCCTTCAAAATTTATTCTCCTCCCACTGTCCTCTCATAGAATAA